TTTGGAGATGAGAATAAAGCAACAAAGATGCAAAACCTAGTCTGGAGATGCAAAATCGATTTTGGAGATGAGATTAAAGCAACAAAGATGGAAAACCGAGTCTGGAGATTAGACTACAGCAACAAAGATGCAAAATAGAGTTTGGAGATGAGACTAAAGCAACAGAGATGCAAAACCTCGTTTGGAGATAAGACTACAGCCAGAAAGATGCAAAATCGAGTTTGAAGATAAGACTACATCAACGAAGATGAAAAATCGTCTTTGGAGATGAATCTAAAGCAGCAAAGATGCAAAACCGAGTTGGGAGATGAGACTACAGTACCAAAGATGCAAAACCGAGTTGTGAGATGAGACTACAGCAGCAAAGATGCAAAACTGACTTGGGAGATGAGACTACAGCAGCAAAGATGCAAAACCGAGTTGGGAGATGAGACTACAGCAGCAAAGATGCAAAACTGACTTGGGAGATGAGACTACAGCAGCAAAGATGCAAAACCGAGTTGTGAGATGAGACTAAAGCAGCAAAGTTAGAAAAGCTAGTTGGGAAATGACATGGAGAAAACAAAGATCCTGGCTTTGGAATGAATTTAAAGGAAACAAAAATATCGAAGCAATTTTTGGCAGTTTAAGCTGAAGCTTTAACAAGTAAAGTTGAAAGAATAAAATTTGTCAGAAGAAAACTTCACCCTACGGTCTTTTCAAGAACGTGAAGTGGAAAAATATAACGACTCAAACGGCAGAGTTTATAAGCTGTAATGAAACTATCATCGTCAATGCATTAAATTGATATCTGAAGGCGCATATATTAATTTAAAGTTGGGTACCTCGAGGTGGTTAGCAAGCTTGTCTCGCTAGAACAATTACGACTGAGTAGTGAGTTCGATTCTCATTGGGTACCCCTTACTTTCGATCTTGTGACACATTTAAGCTATGCTTAAAAATCAATTTGGAGTTATGTTGCCTTCTAGGATAATTATGACTGGGTAGCGAGTTCGATCCTCATTGGGTACCCATTACTTTCGGTCTTGTGACATATCTAAGCTACGCTTGGAAAATCTTTCGTGGTTTAAAGCTTGTCTCACTAGAACAATTATGAATGAGTAGTGAGTTCGATCCTCATTGGGTACCCCTTACTTTCGGCCTTGTGACACAATTAAGCTACGCTTAGAAAATCTTTCGTGGTGTAAAGCTTGTCTCACTAGAACAATTATGAATGAGTAGTGAGTTCGATCCTCACTGGGTACCCCTTACTTTCGGCCTTGTGACACAATTAAGCTACGCTTAGAAAATCTTTCGTGGTGTAAAGCTTGTCTCACTAGAACAATTATGAATGAGTAGTGTGTTCGATCCTCATTGGGTACCCCCTACTTTCGGCCTTGTGTCAGATCTAAGCTAGGCTTGATAAATAACTATATTAATTCAAAGTTGGGTACCTCGAGGTGGTGTAATGATTAAGCAAGCTTGTCTTGCTGGAACAATTACAACTGATTAGTGAATTCGATCCTCACTGGGTGCCCAATACTTTCAGCTTTGTGCCACATTTGAGCTACGCTTGGAAAATAACTACATTAATTCAAAGTTGGGTATCTCGAAGTGGTGTAATGGTTAGCAAACTTGTTTCGCTAGGACAAATACGACTGAGTAGTGAGTTCGATCCTCACTGGGTGCCCCACATTTTCGGCCTTCTGCCACATCTGATCTATGCTTGGAAAATAACTATATTAATCCAAAGTTGGTGATGACTTCCATGATCAGAAAAATTATTCGAAAAACAATAAAAGCGAAAAGGGTGTTTGTAAGATGAGATTACATTAATAAAAGAAAACGTTTCGGCCCTTCAGTATCTGTCTATATTTCTGAAATGAGGTATTATTTACACTATTTACATTATTTGGACTATTGTCCTCATCTTTGTCGCCATATTTATTACAATGATTCGGCCTTTCAGTATTTGTCTATATTTCTGAGATGAGGTATTATGTACACTATTTACATTATTTGGACTATTGTCCTTATCTTTGTCGCCATATTTATTACAACGATTCGGCCTTTCAGTATATGTCTATATTTTTTAGATGAGGTATTATTTACATTATTTACATTATTCGGACTATTGTCCTCATCTTTGTCACCATATTTATTACAATGTTTCGGCCCTTCATTAACTGTCTATATTTCTGAGATGAGGTATTATGTACATTATTTATATTATTCGGACTATTGTCCTCATCTTTGTCGCCATATTTATTACAACGTTTCGGCCCTTCAGTATCTGTCTATATGTCTGAGATGAGATATTATGTACACTATTTACATTATTTGGACTATTGTTTTCATCTTTGTTACCATATTTATCACAACGTTTCGGCCTTTCAATATCTATCTATATTTCTGAGATGAGGTATTATGTACACTATTTACGTGATTCGGACTATTGTCCTCATTTTTGTCGCCATATTTGTTACAACGTTTCGGCCGTTGTACGCTCCGGCCTTCTTCAGGTGGTTGTAATGTTGAACTTAACCCTTTATTTCGCTTACTGGGTTAGATGAGGACAATAGTCCGAATAATGTAAATAATGTGTAATTTCTTTCAATGTTTTGATATTTTTTTCATCTTTAGTTTTTGTTATAAAACATGGACGAGTAAATACACA